ACTGTATCTTCTGTTGTAAATTTAGGAATCGAAACATGTGAGTCCTCTAACTTTGCACTAGCTGTTCTCTCTTCCTAGAACTCTTCCCTAAAATCACCTCTTAGTTCACACTCCCTCATGTCTTTCAGCTCTCACTAAGATGCGTTCTCTCACCATTCTGGCCAATGTAGACCCCACCCCACTTTCTAAAATATAACTGTTTTATATCTTGCATAGCCCTATTTACATCTGAAATTATCTAAGTTGTCTCAGGTCTGCCTTCCCATCTAGATGGTTGTTGGGAATTTGTTTAGTACCCAGCAGAGGGCCTGGGTGCTAAGTGGATGCTCAGTGAATATGTGGGGAAATTCAGGAAGGAGAATGACACATGAGAAGGAATAAGCCAGAGACTACTTTAGAGAAATTCTGGAGGTTTACTCAACAATCACAATCACAATTGTACATGGCAGGTCAGTTCTTCACAAAGGCTCACTTTTCCAGGCAGGAGAAGAGGTTGGTGGTCTTGAGCTTTCTCTACAGAGTCCTAGTCTGACTTCCCAAATATTCCCTGCCTGCAACCCCTGTGGGATCCTAGTCTTCAAGCCAGTGACAGAGCCAGGGCCTGACTCTCTTGTCTGGCACAGCTGAATCAAAGCCATTTTGGAAGCAGATGTTACGATGGCCTTGTCACTTGGTATGTGGGTCCAGCTCCAACCCCAGAGGTGGCTGTGGGGCTTGGCTCAAGATCAAATTTGGACTAAAATATTACTTGGCTCTTTCTATTAGTTGAAAGCAATAAAGGCTTCCAGAACAGAACTTGACCCTTACCCACACTTACACATCTTCAGAAAACATTAAAAATGCATTAATAATGCCTCATAGGAATTATAAAAGATTACCCAATCTGCACAAACTAGATATCGTTGAAGCAAGGAATCTGGATTTCTCAGTTACTACTGTAAAGTGCTTTGCCGCTCACTCTTTTGAGAATCCAGAGACTAAAAAAATGGAGCTGCTCAGAAAGAAACATGGAGCTGTTTTCAAAGACATCCCCTATTTCTGAAGGAGAAAAAGAAATTCAATAGGTTGGAGATTTGAAAAGTGACTGTACTGTAGACTTTGGAAATCCATATGCTACATCTTCAACAAAAACTGCTCTTTCTCCTCTGGACCTAATGTCACCCTCCCCCCCAATCAGATCCCTTCTGCAGATGTACCCTCCTCTGCCTCTGAGCTATTTTTTTCCTAAAGGGAAGAATCAACAGTTCCTGGACTGTTTTCAAAGTTGAAGGCTCCAACTGGAAGCAGAAAATGGAATGGCTTTCCACACATGTGCCTGCATAATTAGCCACATCCAAAGGCCTCGTACTTACAGCAAAGACACTCTTTGCTCTCCGAAGAGCAAAATGTTTCTGCAGTCCCCCTTCTGAAAGTCTGCTGGTGGGCCACAGGGTCATGATCCCTTCTAGCTACACCCTTTTCTGTCACCTCATCCTCAAATAAAGACCCATCGCCTGGCTGTCAGCATCTCCACTGGCTCCTGGGTAAGTTTCAGCTGAGGATGTGAGCCGAAACCTGAGTCCTGGAGACAGGTGCTTTTCAAAAATGAGGTCAAAACAATGAGTGGGTTAGTATGAGCAATTAGGCAGTGGGCCAGTGAAATTGAGCCAGTGAAGGGCTGTCCTCCCTTCCCCTATTACACACCTCGACAGGTCCCAGGACCTCCTGATGCGGGCTCAGAGATTGCTAATGCCACAGTGCTCCCAGGACATGTAGTCCCTGGGCAGGGTGTGAAACCAGACTGGAAAGCAGAGCCAGAGGGTGGGAAAAGGAAGGCTGAGGCCGGCTTGCTGCTGCTCCTGCTTTCTGCAGGAATCCTGGCCTTGCCGAGAACAGTGCCACCCACCTGCAGTGGAACTATTTGGAAGCCCAGCCGGTGCTCTGCACCCCCGACTCCCAGGACAAGCCTCTGTGTGGGGGTTGGGATGGGGACCACAGGCATAGCCCCCAAACAGGGCCCAGTGAGGTAATGCAAGGCCTTCTCTCAGGGGCTGCAGAGGCCCTTGTAGACCACGGGCTACACGAGGTGCCCAGCTGCCTTTTTAATTGGGAGCACGACTTGCACTGAGTGGAGCAACTCTGGCCTCTGGGGGGGGCATCTTAGTCTCAGCTCTCGCCTAGAGGCCCACCGTCTCCTGCTTGAAATTAGACATTAAGAAACACACACTCAACCAATAGGAACCGCACACACCACCAAAAATGTTCCCCTCCCCCCAACCCTGCCCCTTTATGTTTGTCTAGCAAGGCACTAGGAAATGGTTCAAGTTTAGGGATTTGCTGTACATTTGCATTTTTCTTTTTAAAAGGCACAGTTTTTATTTTAATGATGCTGCATTGCTCTCCGACGATGAATCTTAATTTGAACTCCCCAAACTGCCAACACTCTTGTTATCCTAGATTCTAGAAGGGGCCTCACCTTTTGGCTCCTTTCCATAGAGGGCCACTTCTAAAGATACATCACTCACGTGGAAAAGGACAACAGGGATCAGCAAGCGAGCTTGGCAAGCGCAGGGGCCGCCTCTCTCACGGACAGGTGGCCAGAGCAGGGCTGGGGCAGAAGAGGAAGTGATCCTTTTGTCAGCTACACACGTTCACTCTGGGTGGCGATGGCTGGGAGTGTTCATCCCTCCCTCCTTCCCCCGATAATTGATGGCCTTGAGATCCGCCAGCATCTCAAAGGCAGATTTGTGGCTCTCTTCCCAGACGTATGTCTCAGTTATTTAATTGGTAAATGACACAATCAAGAGACCCGACTTTAATTGGAATGCTGAGTTCAAGTATTTCCTAGGCTAGCTGGTGGAAGCCATAGGCTGTGGAATGTGATTCCCATGTCTGAATCAGTGGGTGGCGGGTTGGTTACAGAAATGCTTCCTGTTAGTCTGGAAGCCCTCTGGGAGCCTGACGGATAATTAACAAAGCAAAAGGTAAACATGAAGCTGGGTGTATGTCTGGCCATGGCACGCCAGGTTCTTCTCCCTGTTGCAAATGAGACTGCAGCTGTGATGATGGTGGAAGGTTCCCTGGCTTCAGGTCTTCGCTGAGGACCACACCATACCAAAGCCTCTTGCATGAGCTGATGGACACAGGGCTCCCCACTCCTCCCACCCCCAACTCTGGATTTCACCAATTGTCTCTAGGCTGGCGGGGGCCCGGGCTGCCTTGGCGGTATCATACCTGGCAGGCTGCTTTAATCACAGCATTCTAGAAACCCATATCACACGCTGGAATACCAGAATCCTATGTAGCGTTCTAGTTTGCGATCAGATTCTAGAGTCCTTCAAGAATTCTGGAGTTCTGGGTGGGAACTAGAACCACGATGAGGTCAGAGGCCTGGCATCTTGCCCACAGTCCGTCCCGGAGGCGTCCAGACGCCGTGGGGCGAGCACCTCGCGGCCCCCCTCTTCTTCTCTCGAGGCAGGTGATTGCTTGGGAGCAAGAGAGGGAAATGGAAGCATGGATGAGGGAAGTTCATCCGGCATTTCCAGTCTGGAGGTCTTCTACTTGGCCTTTCCCATGGGCTCAAGGCCACCTGAAACACAGCCCTGAAGAGCTGGTGGCCGGGCCATCCTTGTGCCTGGAGAGCACTACAACGGGCCTTTCGAATACCCAGAGAGCAGGGAGAGCTATCCCGGATGCCCGCGGCTGCAGAGGAGTGTCAGAGGGGCCCCTCTCTGACCTGGCAGCTGGCAGCATTTAGTACCGAACACTCCGAAGGCCCCGGGTATGGCCTTTGACTGGATCATCTGAGGCAGTGACTGAGAACAGAAGCTGGGCAGTAACTGCGGTCACCCCCAAGACAGCAGAAACTACAGGCCCGAGGGGACTTCTTTCCCTTCTGCTGCAGATGGGTGCCATCGGTGCTCAGAGCTGCCCCAAACAGGCAAATCTTGCCTTTCTTTCTAAAGCACCGTCACATAGGGGAGTGACCTGACGGCTGGGCCACCTTGCAGGACTCGCTTTTGGGTGGCGCAGGGCTACCCTGCTATTCTCCTGCATGATGCTCAAGGGGACGTGGTGACAAAGTTGAAAAGGCCCTGCCGATTTCCCGGGCTGCCAGCAGGATTGAAGCAGGCTCTGCTCTCTGCGGGGCCTCTTGTGGGGTCTGCTCCCCACACCGTCCCCACAACGCGGGGGCTCCAGGACCAGGCGGACCCCTGCTCCCGCCCACCCTGAACCGTGTGGCTGGCACCTTTGACACGAGCTGCCCACAGAGGCCTTGCCCCCCTCGGGAGAGGGAGGCAGCAGTGAGTGCCAGGCGGGACCCGATGGGCCTGCCAAAGGGGACATGAGGCTCAGTTTCTGTTGAATTTTTCCAAGACCGTCGCATTGGTGTGTTCGAATAGCCACTGCTGGGTGAGAGAGGAGGGGTTGCAGGCGTTCATGAAGATCCTGTGGTCGCTTTCACTGCAGTCCACGCAGCTGCCACTGACGGGGTGGTACAGGGTCTTGTCCTGTAAAAACAGGAAGGTGATCAGCTGGGCGGCCCTGGGGACGGGACCGGTCAAACGGCAGCAACGTGACAATGGCGAGGAAGTGACTGGCCAGCTGCCCCAGACCTGAGCACGCAGCCAGACGCTGCCCAGCCCCCCGTGCAGTCACCCATGTGACCGGGGCTGCCCGCTGGCACGTGGGCAGGAGTGACACATGCCACTCCCAGGCCTAGGCCCCAGACACTGCCCGCCTCCTGTCGAATTTCCTCAGTCTTTATGGTGTGTGTGTATGTGTGTGTGTTCTTTTCTTTTTAAATGGACTCAGTTGCCAACAGCTAAGATTTGGAGATTTCACCTAAGAGTCTGGATTTCTGACTTCCCTTGAATGACTGGGAGACCGGGCCTGGCATGTCTGTGGAGCAAATGAATGGGCGGGTGGGCTCTGTTGGGAGAAGGAGTGAGGCACCGCATCGCTTTAAAAAAAAAAAAAAAAAATCAAGCGAGTGTCCCTGCCCCCGCCACGTGTCCGGCTTACTCTGCGGTATTTCCAGAGCTGGTTGCCCTTCATGCTGTGGCAGTCGTAGAGCGTGACCGGGCTGGTGTGGGAGACGGCGTCAAAGCAGAACTTCTTGGTGTGCTGGGGGTCTCCAGGCCGGATGTCCTCCCTCCAGGTGAAGGTGAATACCTGTGCACACACAGACATCGTGATGGGGACAGACATCGACATGGGGACAAAGCTGTCCCTCAGTTTTTCCTACATATTTTTTTAAATTATGGAAAATTTTAAACACAGAGATCCAAAAAAAGTTGTATTGACTCTGCCTCCTATTCTAATAACTCGGCTTCAAAAGTTACTGACTCGTGGCCAATCCTGTCACCACTATCCCCGCCCCCATATTATTTTGAAGCAAATCCCAGATACCGGTATCGTATCATGTCAGGTATAAATACTTCGGTAAGTGTCACTGTAACAGTTAAAAGTCACCACAAAGTTCTCCATGTCACCAAATATCCAGAGTTCCAGTGTTCTTGGAATGCCTTATCCATTTATCTTCACAGTTAGTCTGTTTGAATCAGAATCTTAACCTGGTCTGCATGTTGCATTTGGTTGATACACTTTTTTTTTTTCCTTCCCAGCAGCTTTACTGAAGAATAATTGGTGGACAATAAATTGCACACATTTAAAGTGTACAATTTGATACATTTTAGCGCATGTTTACTACACCTGTGAGACCATTATCAATCAAGGTAATGAACGTATCCATCACTCCCCCAAAGTATCTCCATGATCCTTTGCAATCTCTTCCTCCTCGTCCCCCTACCCCAAGGCAGCCACTGATCTGCTTTCTGTTGCTAGAGATTAGTTTGCAATTTTCTAGAATTTTATATAAAAGTGTTCTTTATACAGCAGTGTTCTCTTTCGTCTGGTTTCTTTCACTCAACATAATTTTGTTGTGATTCACCCATGTTGTAACAGCATTTACCAGTAGTTCACTTGTAGTTCAGCAATAGCCGAACTGGGACTCCGTTCAGTTGCTCTCGGACATTTGGGTTGTTTTCAGTTTGGGGTGGTTACAAATACAGTTGCTATGGACATTTGTGGACAGGTCTTTGTATGGACCTACGGGATTTTTTTTCCTCTTGGATAAATATCTAGGAGTGGAACGGCTGGCTCACATAAAAGATCAATGGTTGCCTCACTAAGACACTGCTGAACTGTCTTTCAAATCCATTTCCGCCAGCAGTGTGTAGTTCAGTTCAGCACATCCTGGCCAGCCTTTGATGTGGGCAGTCTTTTTAATAGGTGTGTGGCGGTTATTTCATTGTAATTGTAATTTCCATTTCTCTAATAACTAATGAAGTTAAGCATTTTAAATGTTTATTTGCCATTGATATACATACCTTCTTCAGTAAAGTATCTGGATAAACCTTTTGCCCATAATTTTTTTTTAAATTATTGAGTTTTGAAAGTTTTTATATATTCTAGATACAAGTCCTTTATCAGACATATACTTTACAAACATTTTCTCCCAATCTGTGGCTTGCCTTTTTATTTTCTCAACAGTATCTTTTAAAGACCAGAAGTTTTTCATTTGGAAGAAGTCTAATTTGTCAATATTTTTCTTTCATGGATTGGGTTTTTGGTGTTTTATCTAAGAAATCATTGCTCAATCCAAGGTCATAAACATCTTTGTCTATGTTTCCTTCTAAAAGCTTCTTCTTCCTTTTTTTTTTTTTTGAGATAGGGTCTCACTTGCTTGCCCAGGCTAGAGTGCCGTGGCATCATCATAGCTCACTGCAACCTCAAACTCCTGGGCTCCAGCGATCCTCCTGCCTCAGCCTCCCAAGTAGCTGGGACTCCAGGTGAGTGCCACCAAACCCAGCTAAGTTTTCTATTTTGTGTGGAGAGGGGGTCTTTCTCTTGCTCAAGCTGGTCTCACTGCAACCTCAAACTCCTGGGCTCAAGTGATCCTCTGCCTGTCCCCAGCGTATACACCATTCCTACAGAGGACCCTCATCTAAGGTTTACGTCAGTGTAAACTTCCAGAATGCCAGAAAATCCACAGTAAGGAGACTACAAAAACGTATCCTCAGACTGAGAATCCGTGGACGCTTGGCTATTTACCAGGGGAGTTATGGCTCGGATGAGGAGCCCAAAGAAAGGTGAATGCCACTGCAAGGGTGCCCTCTGAATCCTACCTGTCCTACCCCCAGGCCCCAAGAGTGGACATATGACCCCGGGCCATCAGTATGATGACTTCCTCCCTCTCGTGCCCCAGGGCTTTGCCAAGGGTAGTCACATCCTCCTCCACTGCATGGCAGAGCCACGGGAGAAGGAAGCCCACAGAGAGGAAGCAGACCCCGGAGAGAACCATACAACATCATCAGGGCTTTTCAGTGACGTGAGCCAATAATCCTCTTTTTGGTGGCCATTTGGGCTGGTGTCCATCATTTGTAACCAAAACAGTCCAGACTAACGGTTTCATTGCAACATGAAGGATTCCTCTTTCCGAGGCATTGGGGAACTCCTTACCGCTCCTCCCCTGGGCTGACTTTTGTCTCTCATTGCTGACCTGAGCCTCTTCCTCCCAGCCCTGACCACACCAGGCTCCAGACGGCCCGAGACCCTGCTGCCAGTCCCTGAGGGGGTGGCCCTTACCTGCATGTTGTTCCAGGCAGCCTCCCCGCGGCCCCGGACGCAGCTCTCCAGCCTCAGCGGGGAGCCCAGGGCCCCGTGCTTCGTGTCTGCGCACAGCCCTGTGCCCACGTTGCGGATCTGGGAGGGAGAGAGGGAAGGAGTGGAGCGGTGAGGGACCTGGAGGTAACCCTGGGCCCCTGCCAGGCTGGGAGGGAGGAACCAAGGCAGAGCCAGTAGATGGGCTAAGCTCTGAATTGTCTTGATAGAGCTCGCCCTGGGCCACTGGAAGTGCCCTGAACTTCTCCATAAAGGAACACTTAGTCCACAGTCCGTGATCCTCCCAACACTGCCGTGTTAGGGCTTGCAGTCAGGGGTTAGCGGTGGGGGACTGGAGGTGAGGAGCTGTTAAAGGAGAACTCCCAGAGAATTTGACCCAAAAGGCCCAGGAATTGAATTTTGCCCCCATTCCAGGTGAGCCAGGTGCACGTGGTCCAGGGACCAAATTTGAGCCCCCTAGCAAAGGATGTGAAATCTTTGCTGTAGGTCTTAGACTCGATCTGCCTCTTAGGGTAGGTGAATGGCAAGAGGTGGCAGGAGTCCCTGCCAAACCCGCTGAGATCCAGTGGACAACAGTGGGCTCCGTAGCCTCCAACCATGAAGATGGTGTGTGTAGCGGGAGAGCGCTGGGTGGGGAGCCTGGAGCCCGAGGCTGCTCACCTGCTTGGGCGACAAACACTGATTGGGCACTTATGATGGGCGGGCCGCTGCGCCAGGTGCTTGATGTCCATCACGTAGTTCCTGCCTTGCAGATATCACTCCTGTTCTGTCTGCGGGGCCGGGGCTGTGGCCGTTGCAGGGAGTTCGGCAGCCCCAGTCTGCCTGGGGCAGCTCCCAGCCAATTACTGAGAGAGGCGTGGACGCCAGCCACGCAGGCCCCTTCCTGAAAGATGCTGCACTCCTCTGACTGGCGACTAGGCCTGAGGACTCTTCAGTGACCTTGGAGCCTAATGCAGGTGGGATTCTTCCTGCCCCCGCCCTCTTTCCTCCCCTGGCCCTTCGCAGAGGGCAGGCCGGCTCGTGGCCTCGCAGCTCTCCCAGGATCCGCCGACCCCCTGATCTTCCCTCTCAGGTGTCTCAGCAACAGATCTGTTGCCCCCCCGTGGCACCTGCTTCTCCGGGGACCTGAACTAGCCTGGGGGAAAAGCCAACAAACGTAGCCAGGTGCAGAGCTTCACGAGGGAGGTTAACACGTCACCTCTTCTAGATACTGGTGGTAGTGTTGGGTGGAGCTGGCGGGACAGCTGAGCCAGGCAAGGTCTCTCTGATTTGCTGTGTAAATCTGAGCAGGTCACACCTGGTATCCCTGAATTTCCATGGGGCTCCTGTTCCTTGCCCACCCTGCGGCCAATCAGAGCATCCCTCCTACCCTTGCTTCCCCGCCCGGCCCCCACGGCCACAGTGAAGGGTGCAGCACCCAAGAATGAGACTCCATTCCTGTGCCTTTGCTGGCTGCATTGGGAAAGAGGCACATTCTTTCTGCTGGGTTAGCCAAGCTGGGGGTTTGTCAGCCTGAAGTTTCTAGAAGCCACCTTGCTACCTTCAGCATGAGGCCAACACAGAAGGAGAAGAGAGAGACTGATATCACTTGAGCCCCTGGAGCCAGGTTGTCTGAAGCTACCGCGGTGCCTGGCTTCCAAGTGAAGCAATAAATCCCCCCTTTTTTACTTTAAATTGGGATTCTGATGGAGACCCCACTCTTACGCTCCTCCTCCCCAAGCCCCACCGTATCCATCTATAAATGGGTAGGTCCTGTCAGCGCGGAGACCCAGGACCGATGAGACCCAGGACTGAGGTGGCATCCACCTGGTGAGCCGGATCTGCCTGTGCCAGCAGGGGCTTCATGGGCTGGGACATGTGCTCAGGAGGGCCAGGCTTGGTCTAAAGCTCCACTGTTGCTATCTTGAAATTCTTAAACATTTTATCCATTTACAGAACTGTGTTCTGTAAGTCAACTCCAATGGGACAACAGAGCACGCGTGTGAGCAGAGGGGAAGAGTGCTGCTCCCTTCTGTCCTCTTGGCTCGTAGCACTGTGATGCCTCAGGGGCACGGAGACCCCGCGCGTGTGGGAGGCAAGCATGTAAGGGCATTGGCAGGTCCGGGAGGCCACTTTCCCTTCAAACGAGAACTTTCTCTGGGTGCACTACGAAGGGCAATGACATCCTAAGACACAGGAATGACCAAAGAGCCCTGTCATGTCCTTTCTTACTGGCTTTTCTGCCCTGTGTTAGCCAAGCATTTATGTAGGAAAGGCAAGGACAGAGCAATCTTTAGTTCCTTTTCCTTTCGGCCCTTCCTTACTCATCAGTAAATGGAAGGTCGAGAATGTTGGCAGATATACACATTATCGAGAAGTGGAATAAAAACAGCTGAGTTAGTTTTGTGCAGTGTTTCCACTGTTCTGGTGAGAAATATTAATACCTATACAGGCACGAAATATGAAATACAGATCATGTCCCTTCACCTATTCTGAACATGAGCTACATGCTGTTAATTTGCATTTAAAACCAGCAGTGCATAATAGAAAGATGAGAGGTAAAAATTCATGCTAATAATTTAAAGTTTTAATTTTTCTATACTTGAAACACCAAATAGCAAATATAAAACCACCAAGACAAGACTGGAGAGAGATTAGGAAAGAAAGAAAACCGTTTCATATTCATACGTTTCAGGGTACATTCTTCCTGTCTTGTGAACAAGGAGTCGCATTTGCCTTTAGCATGGGGTCTCGCTAATGGGGCCGCCCTGCCCCACAGACTCACCTCCCCCCAAGCTGCAGCTGGAGGCTCCACGGGTGGGTAGAACTTGGGCAGGTCCCAGGCGATCTTGGTCATAAACCACTTGAAACTCTTGCAATTGAGGGAGCTGCGGAGCCTTTTCTGGGCTGCTACGTCCCCAGCCGAGAGGTGGCGGTACTCGGGCCGGCGCTGGTAAATGTACTCAGCATACTCGTCCATCCACACTTCTGCCACTCGCTTGAGGTTCTGCAGGGGGCAGGCGAACGGGGGGGAGGGGGGGACAAGGGTCAGTCTTTCCCAGGGGGTGGAGTGCAAAGGGTCCCAGCAGGTCGAGGTCCACCTTTCTCATTTTACATTGCATCAAAAATTCTAGTCCTGCCATGTTTGGGGCCTCCTATATTTCTATTCATTATTTATGCATGTTTTAAGAACTTTACAACTTAAGAGTTGTAAAACAGACTGCTGTTGTTTTGTCTGCCCATCTTCCATCCCTTTCTAGTGAAAGCCTCCCACTAATTTCCCCTTGGGGAGCCTCACCTGTCTCCCTGTTAGTTCAAGTGGCTGGAGGAAAGGTACATGACCCAGCCCAGCTAATGTGAATATAGACACCCTGGGACACAGGGATTGGCCAGCAGTGGGCATGTGACCTAAGCCATGCCAGTCACAGCCAATAGACATTAGCCTTGGGATTTTTGCTGGGCCGATTGGGAAGAATTGCTTTGTTTCTGCTTGGATTGCTGGGTAAGATGCCAGCCAGAGCTGCTGGGCCAGATGGCCACCACATGAGGGAAGCCTGTCCAAGGATGAAGTCAACCCAAAATGAAGCAGAGCTCAGGGCTAGATCCAGGAACACATTCCTCCTTTTAGCCCTGGCATCCAGCTGTGTCTGAAGCCAGAGCTGCCCCAGGACTTTCCAGTTACAGGAGCCTGTACTTTGCTTAAGCCAATTGGACATGGGTTTCTGTCATTTTCCCCTCAAAGAGTTCTGACCAAGTTGGGTGGTAAAAACAAATTATAATTTGCAAGCAAAAGGTCTAATTCCACCGGCAGCTGGAATTTCTAATAATCCTTTGAGGTATAAAGTTTTCTGCTACTTTTATTATGATGCAAAAGGATAAGCAGTAAAATAAAAAGAAAACAGACAACCACATTATTGGCAAGCAGAGGCGGCAGATGACGAAACATCCTGTCTGTGAGCAAACTTGGGGAAGAGTGAATTCTTACATGTAATTGTGATGAAAATTTCTCATTCCATCTGCAGCGTAGGGACTACGCAGTGAGGACTCAATTTGAGCATTCGGGGAAAAATTCCAGCTCCAGAACATCATCCTTCAATCCCTGGATGTTGCCAGGAACACGATCCACCCTCCCCACATTGAACTCTTCAGGCTTTGCCTCTATCATAAGGCTTTCCCCCTATCGCCATCAAATTTTCCTCTTTGATTCGGAGGGTGAAGGGGAGTTCGCACTTTTAGCTGTTATCATTCACTCGCACCCCGGTGGGATGGGCTGCTGCAGGAGCAGAAGGTGAGGCAGGGGTGGCAAGTGTTTACATGTTTTCTGTGAAGAGGCAGATAGCGAATACTCAGGCTTTGCAGCCCATATGCTCTCAGCTCTGGTGTCGCTAGCAAGCAGCCACGCACACCATATAAGCAGCGTGGCTGTGCGCCAGTCCAACTCACGGACACTGACATTTGATTTTCATGTGTCACAAAATCTTCCGCGTCTTTTGATTCCCTCCCTGCCTCATCCCCCGCGAAGATTTAAAATTGAATGATAAAAACTGTTCCTGGCTCACGGGCCACACAGAAACAGTTTGCTGGCTCCTGGGCAAGGGGGAAGGGAACCAACATGTGGGAGGCCCCCCTGCACTGGAGACAAACTCACCAGCTCCCCAGGGTTGCTGGCTTTGAGTTTGGGACCAGGAAACGACTGAATTGGCTCGCTGGTACCTAACGCTTCCCGAGTGCCGCAGAGTCCACAGTGGGCTAGAAAACAGCTTGGGAACGGTGCTCTTCCCACCAGGCCCCTAAAGGGGAAAGGCTGTGCCCAGAGGAGGTGGAAGGCCTAACAGAGCCTGTATATCTTAACACTCTAAAACACAGTGTTCCCTCTCCTTTTCCCAGGATGCCTACCTGGGTCCTTTGGCTCCCTGCTTAACCTGCTTCAGCCATAGGGGCAATGAGGGACCATTGTGGTTTCACTCCAACCAAAAGCAAGGCTGGGTTCTGGGCCAGCGCA